CAGTATCAAGCGAATTGCTCGGTGGTGAATACTATCCAGCGATTTGAGGGTAGTAGGACTAGTTGAAGCGTAAACTATGCTACCATAATCTAGTTTTGATCGTATTACTGATCGGTATATGCTCAAGAGTGTTTCACCCTCAGCTCCCCAGTGTCTGTTTGATAAGTATTTTAGAACGGTCATCCTTTTCTCGCACGATTTGACTAAGTATGCAATGTGCTTCTTCCATGTCAGCCGCTGGTCAAATATGAGTCCTAGAAATTTTATGTCGCATGCTTGTTCTAGTATTATATTATTTAGTTTTAATGGTGTTCCACCTTCAATTGTTTTTTTCGAGAATACGATGTATTTTGTCTTTTCTGGTGAAAATGTTAATCCGGAGCGTTCTGACCACTGTTCTAGATTTTGTATTGTTTTTTGTATCAGGTGAATATTAGTTGTTAGGTTTCTACCTCTTACAAATATTAACATGTCGTCCGCATATAGTCGTACGTGAATTGGTTTTTCTATGTGATTCGATATATCGTTGACAGCAATTAGAAATAACGTTGGACGGATGATCGATCCTTGAGGAATACCGTTATCCTGTGATCTGGGCTTAGACAAAACTCCATTCGACCGGACTTGAAAACTTCGGTCTTTCAGAAAATTGGAAATGAAGGCAATCATGTTCCCATCGTATCCCCATGATTGTAGTTTTGAGATTATATCTCTCCTCCATGTAGTATCAAATGCTTTTTTCATGTCGAAATATACTGCGAGGCAATGTTGCTTGTTGCTAAAAGCTTCGTGTATATGTGTATCAAGGTCGATGATATTATCTATAGTGGATCTATTTTGTCTGAATCCGGACTGCTCGTTTATTAGACGATTTCCTTTCTCTAAACTCCACAGCAGCCTTTTGTTGATTATTTTTTCTAGTAATTTACACATAGCACATGTTAAGGATATCGGTCGATATGATTCTGGTACGAGAGATGATTTATTAGGCTTAAGTATAGGTATAGTGAATGCTTGACGCCATATATTTGGGAATAGGTGTTCAGTCCATATTTTATTATATATATATATATTTAGTAGGTGTTGTTTTGCTGTTGCTGGGAGTTTTTTCAGAAATATGGAGGGTATATCATCAGGTCCTGCAGAAGTTTCTTTTAAGTCGTTAAGTGCTTCCTCCATTTCGTGCTCAGAAATTATTTTGTTCATTGGGTCTTGGTTGTTCTGGATTAATATTTGTGTTGCTTCTACGTTGGTCTTATGTATTAGAAATTCTTGATTGTAATTCTGGTTGCTAGAATTTTTATGGTAAGTTTTACTGAGTGCTTCATCTATTCTTCCGCTATGTGTATGTGTTATATTGTTTTCTTTTAAACATCTGATTGGAGAGTATGATGGGGCTCCAGCTACACTTTTGATTTTTTTCCAAACTGTCGCTAGTGGTGTTGAGCTATTTATACTGCCAACAAAATTCCTCCAGGAGTCTTTTTGATTCTTTTTTGTTGTTAGCTTAACTTGTGCTCGTTTTCCTTTAAGTTCTATCAAATTTTCGATAGTTCTGTTTCTTTTAAACTTGTTTACTGCTTGCTTAGTTGCCTTGATTGCTGTATTACATTCTTCGTTCCACCATGGAACAGGATTTTTATTCATAACTGGTTTAGTTTTACCAATGCTGGTGTGTGCTGGATTTATAATAATATTATTGAACTCGTGTATTGTTTCATCAATGTTCTCTTTTATTTGAGTTTTGTTTAAATTGTGTTCTATATATTTCGAGAAGTGTATCCAGTCTGCTTTTTTCAGGTTCCACTTTTCAGGTAGTGTATCACTGTTCAATTCTCCTGGGTTAGATATGACTATAGGAAAATGGTCGCTTCCATACAGGTCATCTAATACGCTCCAGTTCAGACGGGTTACAAGATTTGTCGAGCTTAAGCTCAAATCTATTGCTGATGTTGTTCCAGTTCCTAGATCAAGTCTTGTTTCAGTACCATCGTTTAGCAAATTAAGATCTGTTGTATCCAAAATATCTTTTATTATTTTTCCTCGAGTATTGTTTCTTCTTGATCCCCAGGTGTGATGATGGGCGTTAAAGTCACCTTAGATAATTCGAGGTGATGGTACTTGTCGGAGAAGTGCCTCCAGTTCATTTGTATCTAAGTGATAATTGGGTGGTATGTATATATTGCAAATGCTAATATTCTGAGAGCCTTCTATTGTGACTGCGACTGCCTCTAGCTGAGTGTTAAGGTTTATGGGCTTGGCTACTATGCTACTTTTGATATAAATGGCAACACCTCCACTAGCTATATAATTAGAGCTATCTTTGCTTTTCTTATAGAATCCCCTGTAATGTTTTGGCGTGTGTGTTTTTGTTTCGTGGAATCGAGTTTCTTGTAAACAAATTATGTCAGGGTTATGATCTGAGATGAGTTTATGTAACATGTTTAAATGTCTGTGGTATCCATTTAGATTCCATTGTAAAAGCGACCTAAGACCAATGAACATAGTATATAATTTAATATGTTGTGGAGTCCATTGAAGAGGTGTCGCTGAGACATTAGTTAATGTTATTATCAGTATATCGTTCTAGTTTTTTCCGTAGTCTAGTACATCTGTTTTTCACTGCTCTATCTGCTATGTGAGGGTACACCAGTAGTATCATTTCAATGAGCCCTTTAGTGTCATCTGTGTAGTCTTGGATTATGCTCATTATATCATGGGTTCCGTGAGTGTTTTCTAGGAGGCTTTTGAATTGGTCACTATTCAAGGTAAAAGCAGGGGTTTGGGCATCTATGAATGTTTTAACGCCTTCATATGCCTCTTGAGAGATATATGACGGCTGACTATTTGTCTTTTGTTTCTTTATTCTTGTGTTTTTGGGTTTTGGAAATATAGGGGAATTTGTGAGGTCTGATGAGGGATCATGTGTTGGTGTGGTCGGCGAAATTGCTTCTGAGAAATTTCGTTTGGAGGATGTGCTGGTTATTATAGGTTAAATCATGTAATGCAACTGTGTTTTGTTGTTCTGGTTGAATTGGTTTGATATGACTTTCAACCTCTGCTTCTTGTGTGTTGGGTGTATATTGAGATGTTGCTGGCTCATGACTTGGTGCTGCGGTTATTTGTTGCTCGTTTACTTGTTGAGTGTTTGCCGTTTCCAGTTGATTGGTGGACTGTGGTGGTGTTTCGATTATGTTTGTTTGCAGTTGGGTAGAAAATCGGCACTGGGAAGCTATATGTCCTTGTCTATTGCATTTGAAACACTTTTGGCTGTCTAATGATAGAAAAATGCGGTAGGTTATGTTATCATGCGTTATTTCTAGTGACTCTGGGAGATTTGCCGAATCTTGGTTGGGTTCAATATATACTTGTCTTCTAAAACTGAGTATATGGCTATACTCAGGCAATGGAGCTCCAATTCTCAAAAAAGTAAGTGGTGAGACTAGTTTCAGACCAATTTGTAATAATTTTTCATTTATAACTGTGTGTGGGACTGTAGGACTCACATTCGAAATTACTAGTCGATCGGATGGTGTTATTAGTCTGCGTGCTTTTATGGTCTCACCATTGAGTTCTATTTGTCCAGGATTTTCTAGAAATGTATCGACTATATGTTTACTTGCTAAGTATATACAAATTCTGTTATTCGAAATTCTAGAACAAAAAAGTATATTTTTAGGGCTGATTATTGGACCAAGTTTGAGTAAGTAGTCCTGCAGTCTAGTTCCATTACTAGAATTAAATATTATTGCTTGATCTTTATTTGGATGTCTGATCATTTCTCGATACGGACCTGTCTCCTCGAGACTATTTGTTTTGGAGAGTTTTTACTATGGTGTGCTGCACGAGTCTGCTGTACGGTTTATTATTTATTTCGATTCCTGATATAATTAATCAGATAAACGTTGAGTATGTACTCACAGTGTGTCCGTATAGGCTTTAACTGTTGCACTGGTGCTGTTGCAGAAAAATTTCGTTTGATTTTCACTACTATATTGTTAAAATCTGTAGAGGTTCGCTGTATAGCTAACAAGGCAATTTCGGTCAGGGCCGAACTCCTATGTGTATATATAAAAACCATCATTTTCAAAAATATCGCAGAACGTGAAGAAGTGGGTACATACTCCTAATACCCAAATACTCCTAAAATATATTTAAAAAATCCCCTGTAGCGGTGAAGCGGTATGTTGCTGTCCATAAGATTAAAAGATCTTTATTTAATAACAAAAACTAATCTGAAAATAGTCAATTTCTATAAACGGTACAAAAAAATACAGAAAATTAATGGAAGGAGGCTAAAAGGATAATATGGTATGATAATAAATCAAAGGCCTTATGAAGGATAATCAAGCCAGATAGCAACAGGCATATAAAATATACTAATTTAAAAGATGGAGACGAAATTATAAAAGATTAACGTGAAGTAGCTGAAACTTTCGTCACTCACTTTCTTGATATTACACGGAAACTCAAAGGTCATACCAACTAACGACCACCAGCAGTTGAACAAGATGTTTTGCGGATAATAAAAAAACTGAAAAGCTCACAGTCATCTGGCGATGACGGTTATACATCAACATTGTTGAAAAGGTGTGTTGTTCATCGCATTGTAAAGCTCTTATTTAATAAATTATTCAATTGTCAGCAACACGTCTGAATCACAGTACTGAGAGACATAAAAATGTGTACACTCTCTAACTGAAACCCGAGGAAGGTTATCGGCATGGTTTTATCAGTGTAAATGTACATGAGGTTATTTGAAAATCAAGACAGTTTTTTAAATGAAACCCCTATTTTTGAAATCGGAAATGTAAAAAACGGGAAATTTTACATAAAAGTAAGTCTTTGCCCATAACCTTGACCACCATCTTCATGGGTATTTGAGGATGTCTAGAAAGTAGGGGAAGGCCAAAATAAAAATATATCGAAAAATACGTTTCATAAAACAAAATGTTGTGTAATAAAGTTGTAAGGTTTGAAAAGATTTATCTAATAATAACCTTGTACGTGACCTTGACTATGTTCTTCAAGCTCATTTGAAGGTTAGAGTTAGAATTCGAGTCGCCAGACCCTTTAGTAGAAAGAGAAAAAACCCTTCGTCTAAACAATACCACTTTCATGCCCCGATGTTCTGTTGAACCACGCCCTCTACGCTAGGTCTTCAATGTCGATCTTGGTGCTGGCTGGGTCTCTGAACGTGACAACCGAAACATTTAATAGGGTGGCCGGTCGATATACTGGTAGCTGGACAAAGTGACTAGGTTAGGTGCATACTTCCTAGTAACAATAATGGCTCTGCGGTACTCACCTTAGAAGCTTCATCTTTTAGCAACTGACTATCTTTGCTATCTGTATCCTGCAATGCGGGGTTTTCCATCTGAGATATGCTGTGCATATCGCCATCTACTCCCTCTATCAGGTCTGCAGCTCTGGTAAAAGTTCTGGCACTGATGGTTAAGTACTGCCTCCTCTTTTTCCGCCATCTCTGCCTACATAAAAATCACAAATATAACATCCCTTACAATATGGGTAATTCTAAGCTGATCTCTTTAATTTTTGATTGTTTGTTGCACCTGATACTCGCCATACTAAGCCAATGAATAACAAAATTTCAAATATTGAAAAAATGTGTGAGAAATGCGAGAGAATTCAAATATTTTTCATGATGATGATGAAATTAAGCTAGCTAAGTACAACAATAAATAATATAAAAATACTATGCACAATTGAAATACGGCTACTCCCAAAAACTAGATAACTATTGTTCTCAGTGTTTTCACAAATGGATTGATAAAGGTTTGCATTCAATTTTTAGCTCCAGTCTTTATCACATTTGAGACAAACGAGGACCCCTTAGTTTTTTAGTCACATATTCTGGTATAATAAATTTGAATGTAGCTCTTTAGTAGCTCCGAAAACGTGGGGAATTCTAATATAAGCTAAAGGTTCACACACCATTCTTATGAAAAAAATCGTCCATTTTTCGCTAAGCGCGTAGCTTATGATTTGGATGAGTTAATTACATCATAAATGTCTCAAAAGAACTTATTGCAAGTCGTGTTAATCTTCACTTGCTTTTTATGTCAGGGGAAAGCTTTTATAGTCACCCTCAGACAGAAAAACTTGGCAGTATTGCCCTGTCGGTTTTTCCTCCGCAAAGTGTGAGATTCTCCAGAAGTGGGATACTTACTAAAAAAAATAGTAATCTAGTCATACATATACATATGCTTGTACAAAAATAAGCGATCCAAGTTGCACATACGTCCTTCATTTTCTGCTCTCCAAATATATCGAATTGCAACGTCGCATTAGAGCCTCAGGTGGTCCAATAAGCATTTAGGTAGTGGCGAAATGATATGGAGTATAGAAGAGTACCGTCACTCTGTCGTAAAAGCGAGGTGTCTGAAATTATATTGTAGTATCCAAAATCCTACATGCAGTTTAATTGTGGTGTCTGAGATATTGCAGGGAGTGAGGAGGAAGGTAAACATCCAGGTAATGAAGGTCACCTGCAGGTAGTTGACCGCAGAACAGTCAGGAGTGTTTTACGTGTCCCCAAACTAGCAGGAAGCAGGGCGCTGATATTTTTATGCTCTGATAATGATGTAAAGGCGAGTATTGTTATTCCAACATATTTGAAATTTGAGACACCGTCGCTTAAATTGTAACACCACGAAACTCAAAAAAATAACTTATGTATTTACTTGAAAAAGCCACCGTGATTCCCGGAACGTTATCAGTAGGCACTATTAGCATATGAGGTTTCGTTTGCGACTAGAAGAACATGGAGGACTATAAAGGCTCCTCCACACATAGGCAGATGCGTCGGCAGACGTCATCTGCGGGTGCGTCCGCCGACGTGTAGAGGGGGGTATTTGCTCGTCTGTGGGCGGTATCGGACGTCGGCAGATGCGTCTGGCGCTCTTCCGTCTGTTGTCGGTTTTTGTGACACGCAACAAAGGGATTAAGGCGCGAGCGTCCGACGTCTGACCACACGTCTGACGACGAATGAGCACGCATCAGTGCTATCGGAATCGGGAAAGAGACTGTACTCGCGCTTCTTAAGGTTTTTACCTTAACCTTTTTCGCTAACATGGCTAATATGACCACTGATGAAACCTTCAAATTTATTGAGCTATATCAAGCAGAAAACTGCCTGTGGAATCCAAAGAATAAGTACCACAAAAACAAAAATTTTGTAAGTATACAACCAATTACTATAATTTAATTATGTATATACATATTCATTAACTTGAGATAATGGAATACCTTGTTGAAAGCAAATTTCCTTAAAAAATGCTCAAAACAAAAGTTTCTTGGCGAGAGGAAGGCTAACTGACCATTATCTTGAAAACATTGATCTTGTCATTTGAAAATTTTGAATGGGTCGACCCGTAACTCCGTAATTGAAAAGAGCAGATCCTTCTGCATTTAGGTAAGTTATTGGCTTCATGGTCAAGGTTAAGGTTCAAGGTCATTCCAAGGACAAAATAGTACGATTATTTAGAAGGTGGTTCATGCAGAAGTTTTGTAATAGTAGAGGAGGGGCTCATACCTGTTTCACGTTGAATCTTGACCTTGACCATGAATCCAATGAGTCACAACATAAAAGGTTCTGCTCTCTTCAATTACGGATTGAAAAAACGGTCTTCTCATTTTAGATTTTCAACCTGACTTTCAAACGATCTTTGAAGGTCAAGGTCATTTTAAGGTCATAGTCACGTAGCCTACTTCTCATCCAGCAAGTATTGTTTGAAATGTTTTTTAAGAAAATGTGATGCTAATAAGATATTTGATTTGATGACACTCTATTGATGCTTATATTTATTAATTCAGATCAATGATTCATGGAAGCGTATTGCTGACAGGATGGGTGTTCCTATCCATGAATTAAAAAAAGAAAGACAATCTTCTTGGAACATTCAGGACAAACTTAAAAAAGAAAATGTCTTCTATGAAGTCGGGATCGGGAGTAGAGGACGTGTACCAGCCCATCTGGATCTTTTATGATGTGATGGCAGCATTTATAACAGATATTTATGAATCCACCAGTCTCATGAATTCAGAGGAAAACGTAAGTAAAAAACCAAGTTTCTCTAATCCTATTTATTTCAGAAAATTCTGTTAGGTACATCTATAGCTAACTGTTGTTCTCGTGAATATATTTCATAAAATTTAATCTTGTTTCTATTGCACATGTAGGAGCTCTTCGAGGTACATGTTGCAGTGGATCAAATGTTCCTGTGTAATTTTGTCTCCAAGATCCTGGTTGGGTTAATTCACCGTTAACATACTTATCTACCGAATTTGGGGGAGTGTACATATGTCGAGATGTTTTACTTTTTCTCAAGAAATTGTGCAACAAGACGCATGTCATTGTAATTAAAGATGCCTTGGGAATATTCAGTGGTATAGGCCTTTTGAAAATTCTGAATACGCTAGACATTATTCCAAAAGTATTTTCGATTGTCACACGCGAACTAGACAGTTTTTGATTGAATAACCTCTCGGGAGTACCAACAGCATGATGCCCAGGAAATGGCTTCATAATATGTGTACTCAGAGCAAATGCCGCATCAGCTAAAAAAACATAAGGGAAGTTAGTGTTACTATTGGGCAAAGGACTAGGAGGTGGCAAGTTGATCACATTTGTGTCAATTTTTTGCTTTAGAACACTTTGATTGTAGACGCCACCGTCGTTTATCCGTCCTGGGCATCCTATATCCGCAAAAATAAAACAGTAGTCACTATCAACTAGTGCTAAGAGTACAATGCTGAAGTGTCCTTTGTAATTGAAGTATTCCGATGCAGTATGGGGTGGCGGTAGAATCATGAGGTGCTTTCCATCCAAAGCTCCGATGCAATGAGGAAAATTGAAGCCTTGTGACTTTGAGAGCCATTCATTTGCAGTTTTAGGCATCTGAAAGAAAAAAAAAATAGATATTTCAAATTTTAATTTTTAACTACTATCATATTTTAAACTTGCTAGTTAGCTTTTTAATGTATTATTATTATTTACGTATATTTTTAATGTATTTTTCTTTCCTAGATACGACCTGAGGTAGGTGAAGAAGCCGGCGCTTCGAACGAACGGGCTAGTGACCTCTCTGAAGAAGGAAAAAACGACGTCGACGTTGACGTCCCTCCTATCCCTCCTCAAAGCAGTCAAAAATGTCAAGGACAAAAACGTCGTACTATGAATCCGCCTGAATTTCAGGAAGCAAGCAAAAAAATGAGCACAGCGTTTACTGCATTAAATAACGCACTGATAAACAAGGAGAGAGGGAAAGAAGAAGACGAATGTGATTTATTTTGTAGAATGCTGGCAAAGCAAATCAAAGAATACCCTAGACTTGAAAGAGAAGAAATTATGTATGAATTGCATGGCATTATGCTGAACAAAGGTCGTTGTTACGACAGACTGATGCATAATAGATCAGTGATAATCAGTCATCCTAGCTCCAATAACAGTGTATATTTAACACAAACACCGTCACCCAGTTATGCCACAAGTGACTCCCTCTCCCCTTATTCAGTGGGATCGCTGCCACAAAACGTCAACCAACAACAATCTGAAGTAATTAACATTTTATCACAAGAAGTGATTCAACCAGAGACAACTAGATCCTGTTCTGAAAGCATCGGCAATGTATTGGATAGTACAAAGTAACCTTAATTTTTGACCAGCATTTTTTACTTTTATAAACAATAAATTTTTTTATTTTAGACATGCAATAAATATTTTGAGTTAAAATTATTGTAGTTTACCTTCACTAAATCCTTTAATACGTCATTGAGCGCCAAACATACTTCAGGAACAATTAGAGATATCACTTGGCTTGAAATTTTGAACAGGTAATGCAAGCTTCTATAGCTATCTCCAGTAGCTAAGTATCTTAATGTTACTGCCAGGCGTACTTTCACTGGAATTGCATCCCTCCAATCAGTATCATTTTTAGCAATCATTGGAGATATCTTCTGTAAAAGATATTCAAAATCGCTGCAAGACATTCGAACAAAATTGTCAAATTCTCCAGCTGGCTCCGCGTAAAGTTCTGCAAGCTGATTTTCCATGCTATTCCTGTAAAAAAATGTCGTGTAATAAAGGATGATACGTTGAAATATGAGAATAACTTTATGCATATGCTAACCAACCAAGAAAATTACATCAGGAAAGTCCACATCAAAATTATCTTACATTACTCGACTAGTCCCTATTCAACTTACTTTGTTCTGTTTCTATGTATAGCCAGCATCCACCACCTTCTTCTTTTCCATTTCTTCTTAATAGCTCTACTGCGATACACACTCAAGTAGTAATTAAAAGTACTAAACAAATAAATAGCTGCGGCAGTTACCATCTCAACATCCATTTTTTAAATATTGCGTCCGTTGCATCTGTCGAGGCTTGACACAGACTGAGCGACCTGCAGACGTCCGCCGACGCATCTGAAGACGTGTAGTGGAGGCATAAGATCATTCGATAGCGAATCCAAAGACCCATCGATAACCGCCAAAGATGAAAGAAAAAAACCGGCTATAAATTATACTCGAAAAAAGGGACGCTCTACATACGGACAGGTCGCAGGTCGAAGTATGTCTTCTGTCTGCTCCCCTGATCACTCATTGCCGACGGTCTGTTTAATAACTGGTCAGATGTCAAACAGAGGTTGAGAGACGACTTTTTCTATGGTATGTCAAATATTTGGTATTCAATAGACAAGCAGGTAGGTTGCGCAAACAATAAATTAAAATCCACCAGTTCACTGTTATAATAACACGATTGCTTCCCAGAACAATCAAACAACAACTGATTGATATTCATGCTAAATCCACTAAACGTAAGGGTTAAAAAAATACGACTTCTTTCTAACTACTGTCAATTTCTTTGTGAGCCAAAAGCACAAAATTTAGCTTTTGCTTTTGAGGTGCCGCGCTGCCGACTGCATAAGCGAACCTGCTTGTTTTCATAAAAAAAATTAGCTCATTAAGCTTCTCCTACATATTACAGCATGTTATACCTTCTGGAAAGTGAACCTCCCTGGACTAAGCGAGTCCCCCCACTGCTCTCCAATTTTCAATCTCTAAGACCCCCCCCTACAACTACAATCGTAAAATTGACCACGCCTACAAATGATTTTTATGAGCACGTTTCAAATTTCCGTCATGGGACTAAACTAGGCAGTTCCAGAGGAATGAAATTAACAAATCATAACTGTTTGTGTTCGAATTGGGAGGATTTCTGTAAAAGCAAAAATTCTATATACTTGGACTTCTACTTAAAGTGGCTGTACCTTCTAGTATGTCTACGAAGTAAGAAGCATGTAGAACAGAATGCAGTTTTGTATAGACACAGAAAGTGGTTAAACTAGATATTGGTGAAATACTTTTCATAGCTAATGAAATTAGTTGCAAGAAGGATAAATAGCCAGCGTTAATTTCGTAATCTAAATGTTTTTCGTATATACATTTTAGATGATTTTATTTTCCATACGTAATGTTCAGTAGCCTAGCACTCACGGCTTGTCTATTCAATACCAAACATCCGACCTACCATAACAGAATTAATCAAACAACCTGCTTCTCCCTGAACATTGAAATTTGAAAGAAATATTTTGCCTTTCAAGAACCTGGAGATATTTTACAAATAAAGATGTCATCTGCTTTGAAAATCACATCATATTGGGAATTTAATTAAGCCTGCACCTCATCAACAGAAACAGCCCACCGCCACTGGAGACAACCCAACCAAGCCGCGCGATCCTATAGAATGCGGTAACTTTTATCTATAAATTATTGCTCGAACATTACCTTCCAGTATCAATAATGGCTTTTAGACTGTCTTAAGCGCTAATACGACGTTGCAATTCAGTATATTTGGAGGGCAGAAAATTAAAGAGGTATGTTCAACTTGGATCGCTTATTTTTGTACCTATCCACATTATAACCGAGCAAGTAGGAAACTACTACTGGTTCCTTGGTCTGTTTTTGTCATTTGTGCAACTGCCGTCGCAAGCGGAAAAGTATCACTTTCCGCAAGTGTTACGTATAAGATTTTTTCTAACAGCTCAACGCAAGAAAATAATAAGCCCACAATTTTAAATACGTAATATGTTTTATTAGAAATTTAAAAATTGTAAAATCAACATCATCAATAATTCATTTATAATAATTATTAACAATATTAAAAGTAAAAGAACAGTTAATTGGATTACAAGAACTTGTAGATATGCGTGCGGAAAAGTGCTACTTTCTGCCCGCAGATGTGTGTTGAAAGACCTGCCCTCTTTAGGTCCCTGACAAAACAACCATGTCCTGTGAGGAATCGCACAATACAGTAATCTATCCGCACCGCTCAGTTGTCAACTCAGGTTTTTTTTATTTGGAATCAGCCTTCTAGTGCGTGCACCATGACAAGTTGCATCCCACCTCTCCTGCCATCTTACAAAAATCGCCTCTTTTGTCGTCTATAACGTCGGCGCCCTTTTTACAAAGCACGCATCTCTTGTCCGCCAGCAAATCAGTTAGCGTGATACTAGCCATGAGCATCAATCGATGCCGTTCTGTAAGCGCGTATCAGCCGCAGCACCAACTTTTGCTGGCTTCTGCGCATCACTGCCTATATTTCTTTTTCCTCAGGTCCTTGTTATAGGAAGAGCACTGTGTAGCATAATAGAGTTGCCACCCCTGCCAAAATCATATTCCACTCATAACTTTGCATCCGTCAGATACCATTAGCCGTATCAAAGATGCAACGGCTTTATTTGCCTCACCAGTGGGGAGCATTGTGTTCAGTCATTTCCAGATATTTGAAAAGCCACGCTCCCAGATACTTTATCGCATTTTGGCTTCGTAACTTTGCGTTCTCAGCCTAAACAGCCAATGAAGTTAGCTTTTGTTTGCCAAAAGGTATAAAAACTTCCATCTTGTCGGTGGTTAATTTTAAGTCATTTTTTCATGATTCTATATGCCAAAAGAATTTCTAGTGTACCCTCTTTGCTAGTGACTATCTTCGCCAGGATGTTAGCATATCCTATCTACGAAGGACCCCTTCATGGCAACCTTCATCGTCTGCCGTTCGTCCATAAGTGTCCTCTCTTTAAATTTGCTCTATATCATGTTCAATATGTATAGCTAAGGCCCGTATCGTCAGTCGTTCCTACAATTGTAGGGTGAGTTTATGGCCTCCTTGATTTCGATAATATTACGTCTTCTTCGTTAACGTACATGTATGTCCTGCGTTTGATTTCTAGTCTGCTGTCAATTAGAAGTCAATTGTGATGTTAGGTTATGTTTCTTTTTAGACGTTTAAAAAATTTTAGACATGTGTCAAATGCCAAAGGATATTTATTTTCTTGCAAATAATGTTGATCATTCAATAATAATTTCCTACATTGAACAAATTCGTCAGGCTGTGGTATCTTCAAGTCCCATATCTGGTATTAATGATCTAAAATCAACAATTTAATGCAAATGGATGTGTATTTATATATATTTGCCTAACAGCTGACAACCTAGCTGTTCCTTGATGAAGCTGGTAAGTTACAAAATTTTTAAACATTGCATATACATATTTATATACTTATCGCATTTTTTTCAGATGTGGTTCGTTCTCACAGACTTTATGAGATGTTGGATAAGAAACATTGTATCGCAAGTGCAACTGCATTGTTGATGTCGGAGATGGCTGTTCACAAATCATTGTCAGCGACTTCTTACACGTGCACAGGTAGACCACGGTAAGAGGAGGGATATAACAAATAGGGAGGCAACAAGGGTATGTGAGGTGATTATACGTTTACATTGATTGAATGGATAAATTCAGCCAGGCTGTCGTAGATCTCCTTTCTATTTAAGCATAATAAATGTATGAGGTTAAAAGGAGTCAGTTCATTTAAGTCTATTACTCTGTTTATTAGTCGCAGAGATTGATTCCTATTGTTCTGACAACCGAAGAATAGGTGGTCGAGATTTCCAATTTCATTACATCTTGTGCGTAGGTCAGTGTCCAGTACGCCAATCCGATTCAGATGCTCTGGGTAACATGCGTGTCCAAATCTGATCCTTATCAGTGTCGTTAAGGTTTTTCTGTTGTATTTGTAATTACTAAACCAGGTGTATCTAGGGATTTCGGGTTGTATTAATACATATCTATTTATTCTTGAGTTTTTATATTTCTCCCATATTGTTTCCCAATCAGTTCTCGTTCGTTTTTTTTGCAAATGAATATATTCATCTATGGGAAGAAGGTGGTCCAAGATTTCTCCAGAAGTAATGGTTTCCCTAGCCAATCTATCAACCCTCTCATTGAGCTTAATTCCGACATGGGCTTTTACCCATACCAACTTTAATTTGTAATTTTTGGCATTTAGTTTATGAAGGAACTGCTTTATTTTCAAGATGTATGGGTTAATATAAGGGTTATTTATGTCAACTGGTTTAGCTATACTTTTCAAGACTGACAGACTGTCTGATATTATAATCCCTTTGATAATTACCTTGGAATCTAAGTATTCCAAGGCTTTGAGAATAGCAATGGCTTCAGCTGTGAATATAGATGTAAGACTGTTCAATTTGAGTTTTGATGAATGTCCACTGGGTTGTGCAATAAAGGCACAACCTGTTTGTTGTCCTTAGAAGCGTCAGTATAGATTTTAACGTATTCTGGATAAGGATTCAACAGTTCTCTAAGACAGTTTTCTTCGGTAGAGGGGATGTAGTTTGGTAAAATTAAGTTGTGTTTCTCGAGGGAAATGAAAAATTCTTGAGAATTCCGGGATGATTGGTATTTAGATAAATTATCTATCTCTATTCCTAAATGCTTCACAAAGGGGGGGTGATTGTTTTTTCTGCCAATATTTATTGGTGAGCTCATGAGAGTTTAACGTGCTTATTTTTTTTTATTATATGGTCTTGCTTTACTTCTGACTTGATAAGTTGTTTTTTTTGACAATAATTGTCTCCTTAGGTGAAGAGGTGGTTCAAGGCATTCTACTCTGAGGGGTTCAATTGGCGTTGACCTCATTGCGCCCAAACAAAGTCTCAATGCACTGTTTTGTAGTGTATCCAATTTTTGTAAGGCTTTATGACTAGCAGAACCATACAAAGTGCATCCATAATCGATGATCGATCTGATGTATGAGCGATAGAATGTTAACGCTGTATCAGGATCTGCTCCCCACCACGTACGTCGAATCATCTTCAGGAAATTAATACCTTTTTGACACTTCGTAACTATTTTGTCAATGAAAGGGTACCATGTTAGTTTATGGTCAAGAACAACTCCAAGGTACTCCACTGTTTCTGTTACTGGAAATCGAGAGCCCCTGATTTCTATATCACCTGTTGGAGGAATGTTGTGCCGTGAGAAGAATACTATGGATGATTTGTGTGGTGATAGGCTGAATCCCAATGTGTTCATTTGACTTGTTATCGAAGTTATAGCGCTTAATAGAGATTCTTTGCATGATTGGAATCCTTTTTTATCTAGGTAAACGACAAAGTCATCAGCATACTGTACGAGATTGTATGTTGGGTTAACTACGTGGATATCTCTAGTATATATGTTAAACAGGACTGGTGATAAAACTGATCCCTAAGGAAGGCCTACTGA